GGGATTAAGGCCCCCATAGGGAAGGATGGAGGGACGAAGGGAGTGAGTTGGGCAGGGCTGGGGCTGCTACCTAGCCCAGGTGGTGCATTGGGCTTGGGGCCCGGGCCTACAATGCACAGCCACAGGGCCCAGGCAGGGAGCGAGATGGAGGGATGGCTTGGCTGGGGGGTGGGAAGGGGCTGGCTCCCCGCCATTGGGTGCATCCCCGGGGGGGCACATGAACCGCAGATCTGTGTGTGGGGCAGGGACGGGCTGCCTGCTGCAGGCTTGGGCTCTCTGCCCTGCTGCTCTTCCCCCTGGGGCCTCTGCAACCCAGCAGGCAGGATCTAGCATGGCAGGACAAAGCGGGGCTGGGCGGGGCAGCTCCTTGCCACTATGAGCCCTGTGCCACCCTGGTGAAGCACCCCCTGCCCGCCCAGCAGCAGCGGGGTCAGTGGTGTGGAGTTCTGCCCCTCGCTGCTGCCAGACGGTCGGGGCGCCTCATTATGGCAGCGCAGAGCTCGCAGCAGCAGCAGCAATGAGCCTCCCCACCTGCCCCCACTCTGCCCTTCCACAAACTGGGCTGCAGAGGCCCTGGGGGAGAGTAGCAAGGCAGGGAGCCCTGAGCCCACAGTGGGCAGCCTGCCCCTGCCTCCCCCACGTGGGCTCCGCTCTGGCCATGTTGCTCATGGGAGAAGGGGAGCTGGCCGCTCTACTGCACCAGCTGCCACCTCCCACAGGTGGCAGCTGGGGCTTGGACACTGCTGAGGGGCTCAGGGGACTTTGGACCCATTTCCCTGGCCCTGTAGCCCTGGTAGCTGGGGGCCCCCTCTGGAAGGGTCAGGGGGCTGTGGGTGGGGAGTGAGGGGTCTGGACTTACATTCTGGTGAGTGAAGGGGCAGAGGGAGCTCTGATTTTCCATGATAAAAAAATGCAAAATCAAATACCAAGATTAGAGGTACTTAGAATTTATTTTATTATAGTGATTGAGCCACTGGTAGGCTTCCAAATTGCTTTAAAATTGTAAATATATCAGTAAAACTTTGTGTTCAGTTGCTACCTATGTATATATAGTGGTGTTTCATTTTATAGTTTCATAGTTTCTAGGGTCGGAAGGGACCTGGGCAGATCATCTAGTCCTACCCCCTGCCCTGGCAGGAAAGAGTACTGGGGGTCAAACGACCCCAGCAAGATGGTCATCTAACCTCCTCTTAAAACCCCCCAGGGTGGGAGCATGCACCACCTCACTTGGAAGCTGGTTCCAGACCCGTGATTTTAATCACGGATTGGGGTTTTTTAATCAGCGAATTTATTTATTTTTTAATCAGAAAATTTGCAATTTTTAAACAGAGAAAACCAGGATCCCTGCTTATGAATTTGGTTTTGGTGGCTGTTAACTGCCATCTTAATTCTTCAATTGAATGGTTTAAGATTAGTGACCCCCTGAAAAAAACACAATTTTTTACCCATCATTTCAAATCGTTTTGAAGTAATGGAATAATTTTCTCTAGGGAACTTCCTAGCCAGCATCCTAAAAACTGTACCTGCCAGCCAATCACTACATACAGTTTTGGGCCTCCCACTACAGAAAGGATGTGAACAAATTGGAGAGTCCAGAGGAGGGTAACAAAATGGTAAGGTGACTGGGGAACATGACTTCTGAGGAGAGGCTGAGGGAAGTGGGCTTATTTAGTCTGGAGAATAGAAAACTGAGAGGGGATTTAACAGCCTTCAGCTAGCTGAAGGGGGGATCCAAAGAGGATGGAGCTAGACTCTTCTCAGGGATGGCAGCAAGGATGAATGAAAAACTTAATGAGCACTTAGTCAGGCACTAGCATTAGGATTCTGGAAAAGACTACTATGCTGAGGGATTCTTTTCTCTCTTATGAGATGAAGTGTCTTTAAAACCCCTAGGCCACATCCAGACAAGCGCAGACATGTGGTATGTGGCACTGTAGACACGTTTGTGGCACCACACATGCAGGTATTCCCCACGCTACTACCTTGATTCCAGGGTCAAAAAACCCTGTGCCATAACAAAGAAGGGTGGTGCACATGGCAGCAGCATGTACCACCCAAAATTGGAGCCTGGCCAGCCAGAGCCATGCTTTGGCTGCCAGCCAGGCTTCCTGCCACAGCTGCAGCCCCAGGACCCCACTCCTACCCCACCTGGGGTAACCTGCTACGCACCAGAGCGCATGTGGCACAGGCATTCCCTGGGGACAAGTACCAGCGGCACTCTACTCAGCATTGGTGAGGCTGCAGCTGAAGTACTGCATCCAGTTCTGGGCACCACACATCAAGAAGGATGTGGAGAAGCTTGAGAGAGTCCAGAGCCACTCATATGATTAGAGGGTTGAAGAGCAACTCATATGATTAGAGGCTTGAAGAGCAAGCCACAGGACGAATGGCTGACAGATACTGGACTGTTCAGCCTTGAAAAGGGGAGACCTTGGGGGGATTTGGTGGCAGCTTATAAATATATCAGGGGAGAGCATCAGGGGCTAGGTGAAAAACTATTCACCAAAGCGCTCTAGAGGAAAACCAGGTGCAATGGTCATAAATGCCTAGAAGGTTTCAGACTGGATTGAAGGAAACACTTATTCACAGTTCTTGTGGCCAGACTCTGGAATAGACTACCAGCAGGGAAGGGGGAGGGAGGCATCTACCCTGGAGATCTTCAAAAGGAGACTGGATGCATATTTTGCTGGGGTCATTTGACCCCAGCAGTCTTTCCTGCCAGAGCAGGGGGCTGTACCCGATGACCTCACAAGGTCCCTTCCAGGCCTAAACTTCTGCGAATCTGTGTAAAAATGTATGTTACAAAATTATTCTTATTAAGGCAACATTTCATCCTTCCGCACACCCCCTTACCCATCCTTTCTATACAAGTTCTACCCATCCATGACAATATTCTCAGTGCTTCCTGCTTGTTTCCCATGCTTCTCACATTAATATATGAACATTGTTCAATCTCATTTCTTTAGAAAAGGCACAATTGGGTCTCTGGCTCCCTCTCTTAGAGCCAGATTAAGATTTACAAGGCTAGTGGGAGGAAAAAGTATTATAAACCCAGGGCCAAGTCTATATTAGAAGTGGTAGGTTGATACTGTCTAGCATAGCGAGAACTTGTTTTACTAATATATCTTATGCCAGCTCCCTGAATGGAATAAACTGTACAAGCAAAAACAGTTTTGCTCATGGGAGACTGGTGCCACCTTGGGGGGGGGGGGGGGGGGGGGGGGCCCCCCCCCCCCCATTTTAACCTGTCAACAACCAGCGGGGGCTGGGGGGCGTCTGACTGTACTGACCAGGAAGTGGCCATGGCGCTCCCAGAAGTGGCTGCAGTGGTCCCGAAAGTGGCCGCGGCACTTCATCCAGCACTTCCACTCTCTGGCCAGTGCTCACAGAGGGGGCACCGGCACTCCCGCCTGCTGCCTCTGCCCGTCACTTAAGCAGGGAGCATGGCCTGTCAGGGGGTGCACCAGCACTCTCAGGGGGTGCATGTGCACACCTGTGCACCCCCTACACATTGCCACTGGTTTTGCTGGTGATTTATTTTTTTGTATCAACACAAGGTATAAGTTAAACATATCGTAGCTCTAACTGATAGTACTATTCTGACAAAAAAAATCAGTGTGGTTTTAGCTATAGCTTGGCTTTCCACTAATCAAATGTCCAGTCTTTCTGCATTCTCCATGTATAGTATCCGACATAGACTACAAAACTTCATGCCCCTCTGAATGAGTTAGTCTACCAGGTGCCACACTACCCTGCCTTCTGCCTAACTCTTCCACTCAGGTTTGCAACCTCCTCAGTTGAATCTGCGGCCTCTTTGTTGGACCAATTATTTATGTAAATAAATATATCCCCATTTCATAGTAGTTTTTCAAACCAAGAGTCATTCTCTTAATTAGTAATTAGTAATACCAAATTCAATCTAGAGTGTAGGTGTCAACAAATGACACAGGCAGCTTCTATGTGCAGCACACAGCAGCTCAGGCAGGGAGCAGAGAGTCGTTACAAATAGCTTTTGCCCATCCCATTTAATAGTTTGATTGCTAAGTTTAAGGTCAGAGTACCTGCCCCGGTAGAGGAAAGGGATGGGAGTGGCACTTTGGGAGTGCTGGGATTACCTTTTGGCATACCTGCCAAGAAAGTTAAGACAAACCTGCCAGCAGTTAAGATAAACAAGGAATTGCACTGTTGACTCACCTTCCCCCCTCTCTTGCCACCCTCCTCTCTTGACCATTCTCTTCCATATAAACTTCTTGCTTCCTTGGACATGCATTTTTTATCATCTTGTCCTCCTTCCCCACTCCTTCAGAATATGGTCCCCCTACCTCCAATCCTCTTCTTACTCCAATGTTCCACTATATTCTTCCCTGTAGAAACAGCTGGAAGCAAAAGCTGACATCACATGACCAGCCGGTTCCACTAAGGAAGTTCTGCACTAGACCATAGCCCACGTTTGTCAATCTGTTACTAAATACAGGCGTGCAGGCAGCACAGCTGTAACTTTTTCCAAATAAGTCAATGGGATCTTCTGCAAGTCAGATACAAGCAAAGTAATCAACTTTTTCTAAAGTGAGATTCCAAAAGAGAAAAAGCAAGTTGGTTTTATAAGAGCAGTACAGAATATTGCAGATGGACAGAAACGATTGACTTGTTATGTTATAGAAGCTTTCAGGATTCCTAAAAGCTAAAATAGTAGAAAACAATCAGGAAGCATCATTGATTTGTCTGGTCTCAGATAACACGGACAAGGGAAAAATCATGAACAGCGTGGCCAGAAAGTGCAACACCATTTGTACATCTGTTTTCCCTTCCAGCTTTCTTTTTACTGCCAGCATCACCTTAAGCTCAAGCCAAATGGCAGGAACAGATCCATTCTTGACCATCCCTATGCTAAGCTGAGAGCCAAAACCTTCAAAACATTCTGAATACCTTCTCACTAACAATGTAACTAACAAAAAATAACTAGGGAAAACTCAAATGTAGACAATTCTATGTCTGTCAGGGATTTTGAATCCAGCTTTAATATGGATAGCAAAGTACCCAAAAGTCGGTACTGAACGAACAGTTTAGAGATGATCTGGTACTTTAAGAGGAGGGTGTTATTTCCTTTGATTCATATGGAAATAAGAAACAGCACATAGGTCCTTTAGTTACCTGATTTACATAAGTGTCCGGGGCCCCTGCTATCTCTACTGCAGAAGCACAGAAATACACAAACTTCCTCAATGATCAATTTGACCATCTATTAACGCATGAAATTTGATTTGAACTGTGTGATAGGAATCACTTAGCATGGGTTAGAAAAACACAGGCATGTCTGTAAATGCCCACAGAGTCTCCACTTTGAATCTGGGATGTGATCTTCTGCACCTGGATAGCTGGTTGTGTGTTATGCTAAAACAATTGGTTGGCCAGACTTTCCCAAAGTTGTTACAAATAGCTTTTGCCCATCTCATTTAATAGTTTGATTGCTAAGTTTAAGGTCAGAGGTCTTGTTCAGAATAATCTGATTGGTTGATATAGTCACTGGAGTCACAGCACCAAACTTATGGAGGCCACTTCGAAATGTAAGTTTTATTGTTGCGTTGGTGTCAGTTTTTGTAATTGTGGTATTCACTGCAACTTGGCTTGAGTGACTGCTGGGCACAGCAAATGGTTCTGCGGTGACTGTGGAAGTAGTTGTAGTTGCCGAGTGACTGGTTGAGTTTATGTTCACAATTTCTTCCAGTTCTGTTTCCATGGGAATGGACTCTCCCATAGGTGAGGACACAATAACAACCTTAATACAATCATCTTCCACAAGAGTTATACCAGTATCCATTATTTCCTCAGGGAGCAAACTGTTCATTTTTGCTGACACCACCTCCGTATTAGATGTTCTGGCAGTAAGGCAAGGGCCAGGCACTGCAACTGTAATTTTAAAGAAATAAAAGAAAAAAAGCAAAAAGCTAAGTAAATAATGACTTAACTCCATACTAAGAAAACACACTAAGTACAAAGTTTTGCAGAAGTGTATTACCAGACAAGGAAAGATGGATGTACTAGTCCCAGGGGGCGAGAGAGGGAAATATTAGTGGAAGTATACTTTCCATGTGACATCCATCCTTTATTTTTTAATACATTTACCTGAATTTCCTTTTAATCCTAATTTATAAAATCAGACCTCTTCAGCAGTGGTGCCTCTGGTGAGGCCATTCAAAGAATCATGGAACCCAGGAGTGGTCCTGAATGACTGGAAGAAAGCTAATGTAGTACCCATCTTCAAGAAAAGGAAGAGGGACGATCCTGCTAACTATAGACGGATCGGCCTGACTTTGGTCCTGGGAAAAATCTTTGAAAAAATTGTCAAGGAGGCCATCAACCACAAGCTTGCAACTGGTGGGGTACTGAGAAACAACCAGCATGGCTTTGTCCAGGGGAGGTCATGCCTAATAAACCTGGTGTCCTTTTATGACCAGGTAACTAACCAGCTGGACTTGGGATAGGAAGTGGACTTTGTCTACCTAGACTTCAGCAAGGCCTTTGATACTGTTTCCCATGAAATTCTCTCAACCAGGTTGGAGGGTACTGGCTTAGATCAGGCTACAGTGAGGTGGGTTGGCCACTGGCTCAGTGGCCGATCCCAGCAAGTTGTAATCGATGGGGTGGCCCAGCAAGTTGTAATTGATGGGGTGGCCTCATCCTGGAGGGCCATCTCTAGTGGTGTACCCCAGGGGTCAGTGCTTGGGCCCATTCTCTTTAACATCTTTATCAATTACCTGGATGAGGGAGTGGAAAGCGCAATGACTAAGTCTGCAGATGACACCAAGCTGACATGTAGTCACATCTGAGGACAGGGCAAGGATCCAGGATGACCCTGACGGGCTGGTCCTATGGGCTGAACACATTCAGACAAGGTTCAATAGGGACAAATGCTGGGTCCTTCATCTGGGTAGGAAGAACCTTCACCATATCTATATGATGGTGGTGGCCCACTGGCTGGCACCCCATCCAAAAGAGACCTGGGGGGTAACAACTGACCAGAGGATGAATATGAGCCATCCATGTGATGAAGTCGCCAACAGAGCAAATAGAACTCTGGCGTGCATCAGCCAATGTGTTGCTAATAGATCCAGAGAGGTGCTCCTCCCCCTCTACTCGGCATTGGTAAGATCACAGCTGGAGTATTGTGTCCAGTTCTGGGCATCACACTTCAAGAAGGATGTGGATAAGCTTGAAAGGGTGCAGAGAAGAGCCACCAAGGGCCTAGGGGACAGGCCCTATGAGGAGAGACTTCAGGGTCTGGGTGTGTACAGTATGAGTAAAAGAAGACTGTGAGGTGACTTGATAGCTGTCTACAAGTATGTCAGGGGTGAACACCAGGATCTAGGGAACCAACTCTTCAGAAAGGCTCCACTTGGGAGGACGAGGTCCAATGGGAACAAGCTAGTTGAGGAAAAGTTTAGGCTGGACATAAGGAAAAACTTCTTTTCTGTCCAGGTAACTAGAATCTGGAACACACTGCCAGCCAAGGTGGTGCAATCGCCATCCTCGGCAGTGTTCAGGAGGAGGCTGGACAAGCACCTTGTTTTGCTCATTTGAGCCCAATTACCTCCTGCTGGTGGCAGAAGACTGGACTTGATGATCTTACACGTACCTTCCGGTCCTTCTGTTCTACGATTCTATGATCACTGCAATACAGTAATAGTTGTTTGGGCCAGAGAAAGCCTAGAATTAAAATGAGAAGTTTCCAAAGAGCTGCTTTCTGTAAATCCCCACTTCTGACCTAACAACATATTACAGAATAGACATTTCTTTTTCCCCAGCCTCCAAAACATGTGCACATGACAAAACACTTGGTCTCAGAAAAGATTTAAAACAGCTGACTGACATTCACAGAGGGTGCATCTACATGTGTGCTTTACTGCAGTTAACTAATTAACTCCACAGTAAGGCACCACAGTCTACATGTGCACTCATATTAGGGTGTGTCACAACCCAGTGATTTTGGTGCCTTGGCACGGTGGAATTTCCCCGCCACATGAGAGCCTCTTGCAAAAGTAAAGGTTTTCTGTTGCAGCAGAAAACCCCCGGTGCAAGAGAGTTCCCGCCATTCGACTGCAAATTTGTGTCCTGCTATTGGCTAGCTCTAAATTATTCCTACGTGGCGGCTAGTAATTGGCTTGCTAGCCATTTAAAATTTCGTGCGACTTCCACCCAAGTCGAAGAACTTTGAGCACGCTGCAGAGTGCCTCTAAAGAGATCTGACTTGTGGCTAGCTGATCGATAGACTGATCACCTATCGATCCTTCTTCCCGTCGCCGAGCGCAATCCCAGACGTACCCTTTTCCTGCCGGCTTAAATTGCGGATGGATTAACTGGCTTGGGCCTCGCCAGCTGGAACAACTCACATAGTTGTTCAGACGACCGGACCATCTGCGTCGCAACTACAAGCAGCGTAAGTAAAAGTTTTGCAACCATTAAACCTTGTCTGCCTCTCCATTCACCAGCCCGCCCTAACGAACGAGCAGTTTCTACATCACCTTGAGTCGGCTCTAGCCGTCCGAGACAGGGTGCAGTGAATTAACTAACTCCACTGTAGGCCTGTAGTTGGGGACATTACTATCCTATGGCAGAGAAATTATGTGTGCTCCAATGGAGCGTAGACTGTGACAGGGGCTGGTTGGGGCACAACAGTGCTGCAGTGCAAGGGCTGCCTCCTGGCTAGCCCCTCACTGTAGCCCCCTCGTACCCCAGCCAGCCCCTCTGCCACCAGATGGTGCCACCAGATGGCTGACTCCCCGGGCTCCCTGCCAGCCCGGGTCTGCTCCACCCTGGCTTAATATGCTGTGGTCCCGGACACACGTGTAAACGCTGCGTCCACAAGCAACTGACTCCAACCCCAGAGTTTATCACGTCACCATAATTGCATGCATAGACGCACCCAGAAAGAGTGAAATCTCAGAAACATAAAATGTTTTATTGGCTATATGTGCCAACATCCATTATCAACCTAGGGTTCTACTGACTTACGGTGCTAGGGCATTTATTCATAGCACTGAATTCAGTACTTTTGGATTTCCATCCACTATTATAACAGCTATTTAGACAGAAGCTTTGTTACTTACAGAATTTTATCAACAAGTCGTTCAAGAACCAAGTCAATAGTGCTACTTTTCCCAGCAAAGGATTCTTTGATGCTTTTATTGTTCTAGGAGGTGCTTGAAAGCCCAGCTCACTTGTCCTGGGTTTGGAAAAGGAAGAGCCTGAAATTGTGACTAATGTAAAATACTCACTTAAGTTATGAAGTAATCAACAAGACAGCAGGAGCTGCAGGCTGCTTTGAAATAGCATAGCCTGCTGTGATGCCAACCCCAGGCATGAGTGACTGGTGCCTCCTGAATCTGGGGAGACACTTACAGCGGTGGCCCTGTCGGGGGGGGGGGGGGGCGGGGGGGGGGGGGGGGGGGGGCACCAGCCCTGCTGACAGCATCAGTGTCAGCTGTCGTGGGGGCACTGGCCCTGTCAGGGGGGGCACATGCACCCCCTGGCAGGCCCTACCAGTTGCCTATGAACTACTGCAAGACAAAACAGTTTTACTTACAGTATAAGGACTCATTAGGTAATACAGTAGCACAGTTGCTTAAACAGTCACTTAATTAACTGGATACAAAACCTGAAGAAGAGAAAGGTTAAAAAGAAAGCCTGGCAACCTGTACACTGAAAGCACCACCTGTCATATGCTGACCAAGTAATTTCTCATTAATTTCTACTTCCTTCCGACCTATCTGCATCCATCTGTTGTCTTTTATCTTATTAGGTTGTAGCCTGTGGGGCAGCAGACCACCTTTTCTAGTCGTTTGTATTCCACAGAGCGCAATCCTGGTAGGGCTCTTCAGCACTATTCGAAGCAGGGAGGACTGATATAAATGAGTAAGTGAAGGGTTTAAAGTGAGCAAGGATAAAAAAACTAAATAACTGACTTCACCCTTGTTACATGTTTGCACTTTGCTATTTTTTCTCAGGAAAGGTCAGTTTTCATTGATTTGAAGTGTGAGCCAAGCAGTACTAGACCACCGACTACATCTTATACTATTCTGTACACATTTATTACATTTGTTATGCTGCCCTTTTCTCCTCTCGTTGTTTCCAAGGAAAAGCCCGTCCTATGTTCACGACACCCGCGGGCTCCCACACGGGGCCTCGCCCGCCACCGCGGGACCGGGACCGGGACCAGGACCAGGCGGCCAGTCCCGGGCAACGATTGCCAGCGGCGCTTCCCACGCCCTGCGGCTGTTAACAAAGTTCCTGGGGTCGGAGCAGCCGAGATCTCCGCCCCCGCCGCGACCCAGGAACTGGCATCACGTGACCCCTCCAGCCGCCGTAGCTTCCTGGAGGCCGCTCTAGCCGCTGCGTCCTCTCGGTGGTGGGCGGAGGACCAAGCGCCGGGCCGGAAATGGCGGCTGCAGTGAGGCAGGGGTTGGCGCAGCTAATGAACTCCAGCGGCTCCCATAAGGACCTGGCGGGCAAGTGAGTGATGGTTCCGGCTGCCGCCCCTCCCCCACCCCCAGCGGGCCGCGGGGCGGGGCCGAGGGGAGGTGCGGGGCCGGTGGGTATGTGAGACAGTGACATCGGCAGCGGGGGATCCGGGTTTTGTCTGGTACAAATCGCAAAATTTCTGATTCAAAAGCCGGCAGTCCGTAATGAAAACAAAACACCGTTCTACGTAAAGGTGCCAGTTGAGCGCAATGTTTTACTGATACATTTACAGTTTTAAAGCAATTTGGAAGCCGACCAGTGCCTCAATCACGATAATAAAACGAATTCTAAATGCCTATACATATTGGCGTTTGATTTTTGTTTTTTATCATGGAAAATCAGACCTCCCTCTGCCCCTCTCGCTCATCAGGACATGGATCCAGCTGTGACTGTTCCCCTCTCCCCACACTGCTTTGTGGTGCTGAGCACCCTGGTATGTCAGTGCCCTGCCCCTGCCATTGCCCCTCGCTCCCCACCCACAGCTCCTGCAGCAGTGCCCAAGCCCTAGCTGCCAACTGTGTGTTGCACAAACGGCTAGTTTCGTGCCCCTGGAGGCTTGTCCAATCCACCTCTAGGAGAGAGTCTCACACACCGGCTGGGTCCAATTTCAGATTTATTGTTTGCAAACAAGTTCGACAAGGGAGCTTAATTTACTCAAATCCGTGTCGACCCCAAACAGAGTCTGGGGTTCCTTTTTATAGCTAACATAAACAAAAGATTCTAACGTGTCGCGTAATTATTGGCAGCCCAAGTATTACGTCTTACAACATATGTCTAGCAGGTACATGTTCTATGACGGTTTACATACATGTCTCATTTACATCTTAAATCTCCTCCCTGGGGCCGTCCTTAAGTCCATTTCGGTCATTCTTCGGTCAAGGTCTGAGTTCTTCACATCAGCACCTTTCCCTGTGCCTCTTCTCTTATCTCTCGTAAGGAGTTATTTGTTGCATCTGTTCCTGGCTATGTCTGCAAAAGTCTAGTGCTACTCGTAAATCTATCATTGGCCTACATACCTTAGCAAGTGTGATAATATGCAGAAGCAATTATGTAGTGAAACTAAACAGTTCTCAGCTGTGAAGCCTTTGTGTAGGGAGATGAGACATTTTTACCACACAGCTGCTACACAAACGTTATTGCAAAATCATAATGACTAGATTATAACATATTTTTACCACAATTCCCCCCTCAAGATGCTTTCTAACTCTAATCTTAATAATTTTCAGCTATGGCTAACTTCTGATAATGCACAAACATCTCTTGGTTGACGACTGACTGTGCTGTTCGTGTCACAAGAGCCATGATGCAGGGTATAATACAGGGAAGCAAACAAAGTATTAATATTAGCAGACAAAAGATTAAGAACGCTCCCCTTAACCATCCAAAATTAGGGAGCCAGGATGTAAACCAATCAAAATTCCACCCGTTTTATGTTTGGACTGGGACATGTGTTATCTCCTGTATTTTATCCGCTAAGGCCTTTATCAATTCACCATTATTGTTGATATTGACACAACAGTTTGACAAGTTTAGCTTTTTATACACCCCTCCTTCACTTGCAGGTAAATAATCAAGAGCTAAGCGATTTTGCAGTTGTACTGAGCCTTATTGAGGGTTGCAAGCTCATTTTGAGAACAAGTACAACAGGTGGACATAACCTTTGGGTTTGATATATCTAAAAGGGACAAGAGTTCCAACAAATAGATTAGGGTTCACATCTTTGCAAGCGTAACTTTAAATTTTCAGCAGGTTTACTTTTTCACGTGTTGGCTTTTTGTTCCCGGGTGTTATCAGCTTCCGGAGTGACCACACCCTGGGAGTTGGTGTCCTCCTGATGAAAAAGCTTCACTCTCGAGCAATGGGTCCACTTATCGCTGTTTGATAAGCGAACAGCTGTGTGTGTAGTCAGCAGCACCTGGTAGGGTCCCTCCCACCTTTCTGTGAGGGGATTCTTTCTCCACTTCTGTACCAGGACCTGGTCACCCGGTTTAAAGTTGTGGATCGGTGTGTCAAGCGGGAGGCTCTGGAAGGGTGCAGCAAACCTGTGTAGGGAAGACAAAACAGACTGCAAGGCGATAACGTGTTCCCAAATTTCAGATTTCCCCAAATCTACAGTAATCTGTTCCCTCTACCCTGCTGGCAAGACTCTGGGAGGTATACCAAACATTAATTCAAAAGGTGACAATTTAATCCCTCTACGTGGTGTGTTACGAATACGAGTTAAAGCCAGTGGGAGTGCCTGTGGCCATTTCAAATGAGTTTCAATACAGATTTTTGTTAGCATAGCCTTCAGCGTTCTATTCATGCGCTCCACCTGACCTGAACTCTGGGGTCTCCATGGAGCATGGAGTTTCCATTTGATATCTAAAGCTTTGGACACTTCCTGTATTACTTTCTCCACAAAATGACTTCCTTGATCTGACTCAATAGACTCAGGCAACAGAAATCAGGGTATTATCTCATGGAGTAGTACTCGTGTCACTGTGGATG